GATGCGCGTTTCCCCTTTCCTTTGGCAGTTGTCAAGTTGACATTCATACGTTTTGCATAATTAATGGATGTCAACAGTTTTTCCATGCACCCTCATGAATTCCCATTTCTTGGTTTAACCTTGTTATTTTTGTCAAAAAAGAATACTAGTATAGTAGCCAAGTTTAAGATAAATAATTCCATATTTTTAGCCACAGTAACAACTACACTACCTCTTTACCTATTAAATATATTATGTGCCTCTATAGAGTTTTTCCTAATATTGTAGATGTAGGTTGTGATATTGATAGTTATATATTGTACAACTATAATATTAACACTGTCAAAACATCCGCTTCTCTTATTATGAATATTATTTATAAAAAACCTAGAACAGGATTTGTTTCTATATTATATTCCAATTACTGTGTGTCCCTTGTTATCGAGCGGCAGCAGCTCTGTTCAGATCTCTCGTACATTTATTGACCTGAATTCTTACCGTATTGGGGTCTCATGTTCGAAATCACTGAGCTAGATTCTCGCACGCTTAAATCCTACCATTTTGAATCAGCTCTAATTAATTAAAAGAGCATACATCACCGTCTAATGCTCAACAATGATCATAGAACAAGCATGCGTGTTACTACGTCACAATATGCCTGAAGATTTGGAAAATGTATTCAAATATCCGCTTCCTTCTCACAGGTAGATACTGAACCAATATCAAAATCAGGATTTTACCTTGCACTGTATTAATTGAAACAACTCTCACACACAAACATTATGTATATAAAATGTAGATAGAACTAAATTATATATATATATATATATATATATATATATATATATATATATATATATAAAGTTAAAAAGAATGTAACCTACAGAGTGCCGCTCTAGGATCTTACTAAAATATAAGGATTTTTACTAATATCTACTTATCTTATAGATAGACCTCTTTCCCAAGCCTACTACATGATTAACAATCTAAAAAAATTCGAAGAAAACTGCTAAAATCAAAACCTGTTATTTAAAATAAATATATAAATCTCTCAAACTAATATGAAATAAATTATAATTTCCATAGGTTAATTTGCAGTGTAACGCCCGCGCTCAATTACTATTAAAAAATTCCAGATTACGTGCATTTATATGTAATTGTACATGCTCGAATCTGGCTTGATGAATTTGATAAAATCTTCCGTTTGGGAGTTATCGACAGAGAAATTTCGGATTCATTCGCGTCGCAGGCAGCCATTGCTCGCGTTGTTTGCATATATTCACTGCAGAATAGCTATCAGTGTAGATATCATTGCGCAAACTGATCGTATCTATGTAAATAGTTCTCGTCCGCAGTAACTGAGACAAATTTAGACAAGAAAGATTAGTTCCGAGCTTAGCTTTCCGTAATCTTCCGCGTTTAGCTTTCCGCAGCGAATGTATGCAAACAACGACAATGGCTGTCACCAACGACGCAAATGAATCCGAACTTTCACTGTCGATAACTCCGATAGATTTTTATCAAATATATCAAGCCAGATTTTAATGGAGCATGTACAATTACACATAAATGTAAGTATTCTGGACATTTTAATGCGAACTGTGTGCGGGTGTTACACTGTAAATTAACCTTACATTATAAAAAAAAAATAAAACAACAAAATTACCTTTTATTCACTTTCGTTTATTAGCACCTTCCATTGACTTTCAGTTAAGCCTGCGGATATTTATCAGCGTTTTTAAATATGGAAAATGTGTTAAACTAACGAAATTTTATTTATAATACTTATTTTACTTATAAATACTTGCTTCAAAATAATTTCCTTTCTTTTGCTCTGTGGAAATCCATCAGAGGATGAAATGTGTCGACTAGGAAAAGTCATATATATATATATGTGTGTGTGTGTGTGTGTGTGTGTGTGTGTGTGTGTGTCTGTCTGTCTGTCTGTCTGTGTGTGTGCGTCTTTCTATGTGTGTGTGTCTGTGTTTTTCTCTGTGTGTGTGCGTGCGTGTGTGTGTGTGTGTGTGCGTGTGTGTGTGTGTGTGTGTGCGTGCGTGCGTGTGCGAAAAGCCTGAATGACCAAACGATTTTCAGGCAAATCTATTTAGACAAGCAATGAAAAAATAGTAACAGTTTAAATAATATGACAGAAACATAAAAGGTAATATTAATGAAGGTGTTAAAAGTTTTAAAAATCATTAGGTGATTTTCATCACCTGTCCTTGTAATATTTTTCAAAGATTTGAGTTGGTGTGAAGTTATTAGCAATTCAAACAAATAGATTCCTGGAAATGTTCCAATGTAAGCAAAAACGCTATAACTAATCGATAACAGCGAATTCTACTCTTTTGTGCTGAAGACAAATAGCACCAACATCCTTTATTGATCGGCAGAAAGAGTTCCTCAACTTTCAATTTGCTTCCTTTTTAATAGAATCTTTCTTTTACCCCAAATTAGACAGGACTAAAATTATCGACAAATGCATATTAATATTCCCATGTCCTTATTAATTATATTATGCAACAGTCTTTTCAATGAATTGTTATCGTCTAATTAAAAGAAATAGCGGTATTTTTTTTTTAAATTTTAAATGAAATATCAACTAAAATGTTATATTAAGGAAAGGTTCTATTAAATGTGTTAGTAATTTTTATCACTTCACCCCCAAGAAAGGCAACAAAGTCACTAAGACGCAAGGTGCTAACTGATTGTGAGAGAAGATAAGAAAAAATACTATTATGGAGAGAGAACAATAAAAGAGGAGAGATTAAGGAGACAGAAGATACTGATTCATATTTCATTTAAATTTTTGAAGTTCAACTTGACCGAAAAGAAAGAAGCCGGGAGAGAGTTCCACAAGCGAGAAATGCGACAAAAGAAAAATAGAACTTACGGTTACATCAAGCCATTTCAACTGTAAAATTAGACGTTACCGACAATCTAGTATCGTGCTTAAATTCATAAAGTCTATGTAGCATAGAGGAAAGTTCGTCACACCTATTACAATAAAAATGTATAAACAAAAGGCAAATAGAAGCTACGTTATGACGGTGGGAAAGAGACCGAAAGCGAGATATCAGGACCAATAACACAGCTGATTTAATATTCCAGAATACTTACATTTATGTGTAATTGTACATGCTCCATTCGAATCTGGCTTGATGAATTTGATAAAATCTTCCGTTTGGGAGTTATCGACAGAGAAATTTCGGATTCATTCGCGTCGCGGCCATTGTAGAATAGCTATCAGTGTAGATAACATTGAGCAAACTCATCGTATCTACGTAAATAGTTCTCGTGCGCAGTAACTGAGAAAAATTTAGACAAGAAAGATTAGTTCCGAGCTTAGCTTTCCGTAATCTTCCGCGTTTAGCTTTCCGCAGCGAATGTATGCAAACAACGACAATGGCTGCCACCAACGACGCAAATGAATCCGAACTTTCACTGTCGATAACTCCGATAGATTTTTATCAAATATATCAAGCCAGATTTTAATGGAGAATGTACAATTACACATAAATGTAAGTATTCTGGACATTTTAATGCGAACTAAAAACAGAGCTGATTTAATATTACTGCATTTAGATTAATATATTTTACACCGTCTTTAGTGATGCTGTTTAAAATAGAGGCATTTTTCAGTATTAAAATATTTCTTTTTTATCTTTCCTAAGATGCTCATGTTGAAAGATAGTAATAGTTTTCAATGCTATTGCAGCTGTTTACAAATATGTGCTACCTCCAGTATTCATGATTACACGTTTTATGAAGTCTTCATTTTGTCAAGTTAACAATATATAGAATCAGTCAATATGTATTGATTTCCATAAAAAAAATCACGTCTTTTAAATTTTTAAACGATATTCACGCTGGCATTTGCATTTATTTTTTTTTTTTACAGAATATGTACATTTTATGGAGAAGTAATATACTGTGGGAAATAGAAATTGTTTCCGACGGACTAACAGCTGATCTCAGAAAAGTAATCTATTACTACATATACTCGTGTATAAGTCGACTTCAGGTATAGTGAAAACTCCGATTTATTTCATGATTTTTCACCCCTCTAGAAAAATTCGCTGTGTATAGTGCAACCAAAAATGTATGATTTTTAACCCCTTCAAAAATTACCTGTGTATAGCGCGAGTCTCTATTTCTTGCCTAAAAACAGATAATAAAAACTCGCACTATACACGAGTATATCCGGCAATTGTAAAGCGTCAACGCTTTTGCCATAGGCTTCTTCTCAATTGCAATAAAAATCCGTCTCCATTGTTAGATATCATCAATTGTCTGACAAACATGATTTCGTTCTTTTGCTTCAGAGTCATGTTGGCAGACATAGTTTCTTTCAGCAAATACCCTCTTGACCCAAGGCAGCACTGACTCCTCAAGTTATGATGTAGGTCTCCGTGTTGAATTTGAGACCCTCACCAACAAATTCAGTTCTTTTCTTATTTGAATTATCAAAGTGCGTTTTCCGAACTGCCAAACCTTCGTAATCACCATTTGAATGAATTGCATCATGTTGTTCTTTTTCTCACAGACGGTGCCCAACTGACCCGACTATACTATGCAGTCGGCAAATCAAATGTAGAATGGCCACAATTTACTCACCGCACCCTATATATATATATATATATATATATATATATATATATATATATATATGTATTATGATTGGATTAAATCCGCCATTATTTTCTTAAAATGTTATTTTTAATGGATTCAGCTATTTTTGTAGATGCTCATTTTTTTATTAAATAGTATATTTATTCCCATCTACTGGCCTGAATATTCGAGGAATCTTGTTAGAAAAATATGCACCCGCCGACAGTATTCGAAACTGCTTCCACTAGGGGGAAAAGTCGTTAGATCTAACGTGCCTTAACTCCAAGGCACATAGGATCTCCTGACCAAACAAAAGCCGAATACTGCGTTTGAACACATATCTCGAATATTCATGCCGATAGATGTTTAATAAATAAACACAGAACATCTACTCAAATAATGTGTATCCATTAAAAGTAACGTTTATGCAATATATATATATATATATATATATATAGAGAGAGAGAGAGAGAGAGAGAGAAAGAAAGATAGATAGATAGATAGATAGATAGATAGATAGATAGATAGATAGATAGATCGATAGCTTTCAATATACAAGGTGTTACAAATATTAACATTACACAATACATGTACGTATATCCCTGTGGAAATGTGTTCTTCCTCTCAGTACATTTAATATAAAACAATGCCATTTATTCAAAATGCTTGTATTATGTGACAGATATTGAAATTCCTCATATAATTCACATAATAATCATTTTAATCGAACTAAAATCCAAAACATAATGTCACGGGCAAAAAGTTACGTAAGACAAGTAACATTATGTAATGAAAATTTAATAATTAAATAAAAACATTTTTAAAAGAGTTAAAACATTTTCATTAAATAATATATGAAATGGACAATTCCGACAATTATTTTCAGACATTTTTTTATGTTTATACGTTCTTTTTATAGGTACAAATATTTAAGTAAATGCTCTGTTTATAATAAATTGTATTAACAACATTTACCGACCTGAATGTCCGAGAAATTTTCATAGAAAATATACGTCCTCCGACAGGAATCGAACCTGTATCCTATACGGAACCGTCATATAGCCTGACGTGCTTTTACCAATTGAGCCACAGAGGAGATCAATTTGAAATTTCAATCACCTGAAGAAGGCGGGAGCTTACAACGGCTGAAACGTTGTGAATATGGCAAATAAGACGAGGAAAACAGACAGAACATTGTAAATTGTATAAATGACCGAGTTTAAACGTTAAAGCGCCCTTCTTGTCTCAATTATTCTTAAAACTAAATCGTTGATCACATTTTAGAACAGAAGGGGACAGTTTAAACTGAGACACGTAATGAAAAAAGAAGGTTTGGCGAATTTGACTCTCACAAAACTCATTAAGGACACTAGGGAAAGTGCGAAAGAGTTTCTGTAAATCGATGGCAGAGAATGGAGCGCGAGTATTTTAAAAGGAAAAACATTACTTAGTGCTACAAAGGATAGGATGTTTTAGATGGTCTTGCTCACGCAGGCTTTGAAGTGACAAGGCACATAAAATAAATAGTTATCATCAATCTTACTAACAACCATTTTCAAAAAGGACATCAACATTTAATTAGGTTAGTGAAAACGAACAGATAACTCACGGATTTCGTAAGGATAATGCTTCTAAATCTGGAAATATTGTATGCTAGCTTAAATGCCGTCGGATGAGGCGGCTTTTAATCTAACGCATACGAAGTGTTCTTGATTGTGACTTTATCACAATAGATAGGGAAGAGAAGATGCGACAGGCAACAATAAAATACAGAAGAACTCAAAATTTAAGTATTGCATTAATGTTTCAACGATAATTCTTCTGTCGCTACTTAATTTAAACACAATTTGATGTACGTAGGTCCTTACTTTCCGTACAAACAATTATTTTTATTTCATGGGTGACATTCGATGGATTTCGCAATTAATTTTGATTATTCCCAAATTTATTTCCAAGTTATAAGAATTGTTATCGTACCAAAAAATCGTCGCAAAAAATCACGTAAAAATTCGCCGAAATCAATCGCAGTAATGAAAATTTGGGAATCCAAAATTTCAGGATTGCGGGTTCGAATCCGGCTGGAATGTTTTTAATTTTGCTCACGGAGTCGGCCTGATTTCAAAATGGTATGATATATTGCGCGACGGCTTATTGGAGAAAAGTTGAAAGTATGTGACACACTGACACACTGACATTTTCATTTATTATAAAAATTATATAGAATTTTTTTTTTGTTTTTTTTCCAGCCTACATTTGTCAAATATTCTGATGGAAGAATGTATTTTGTCTTTCGTCTGCAGAATAATTCTTGGAACTACAGATTTAACATTGAAAACTAAAATTCAGAGAGAACTAGTTATTTTATTTTACCTGTACTTTTCAGTCGAAATTTTATCTGTAATATTTGTACTTTTTATTTTATGTTCCTTTCCTTTAGAAGACGCTAACGGTTATATTATCTTTCTTTTCGGGAGAACATTTTCTCTTTCGGCTTTAATACATTGAAATCAGAAAAAAGATTTCCCACGAAATGCAGTGCTTCTGAAAAGGTTAAACGAGTTGATGTTATCATTTGAACATTTTGAAGGTTTCATTTAATCTAATATAATGTGCTTTTAGGCTCCATCCGATTAAACGTATTTATGAGGCACATCATATTATGTGCTGTATTAGCAACTTAATGAATAATTGTTATCAACAAAGTAAAATGAAAATAATTTAACTTCAGATATTAATACAACTCAATTATGGTTGATATGATCAGAGCAGCTGCTTATACTAAACATTATTTTTCCCAGGCATTATTAAATTAGGTTGAAATATCGATATACATGCTTTAAAAAGGCTGTGATACTCAGCTATATTTAATTGCATTTTTCTTCGTGTTATTCCAAATTTAAATATTTTTACGTCCAGCCTGACATAACTAGTTTAATATTTTTCAAATGCGTACCATTACTAGAATGCTATTCAATATTACTATTATTCAGTGAAAGAGAGCCCTTCTTCCGTGTCCCTTCAGGACGTTGGCTATCATGGATCATCACAATTTCCTCTCAAAATACTCATATAAGAATATGTGTATAGCAGACATGAATTACAGATGAAAAAGTGCTACATATAGTAACAAGGTTTGATAAAAGCAACGAGAAACCTTGCAGGTGGGACCCAGTTAGAAATACTTTTGTCGGGTAGACTGAAAGGGTCTCCGAATGTTAGAGTTCCCAGAATTTAAGATGTGAGTACTAATTCGCACTGGCTGCCTCATCTTTCAACCATGAAAAAAATTCTCGAAATCTGTTCATGAATAGGTATTCACAATGCGCCATCTACTAGAAGGCATGTTCAACTGGTTTTGGTCAGATAACTGACCAGCAAATTGTAGGGTATTGACTGGGATATTTACAGTAGCCTATTTATTTCACCAAGAAAAAAAAACATAGACATTTAGAGGATACGAGAGCCATGCAATAATAATAGTAATAGTAATGTCTATCAGGACATTATTATTATCATTATTATTTTGATCATCAAATCACTATCTTCAATATTTTACTCTGTAACTGTCCATAATTAAGTGAATTACCTCGATATGATCTTCTGTATTCCTATCTATATTTCTGAAATGAAGTATTTTAACTATTTTCACTATCCACATTGTTGGATAGTGACTGTTGTCCTGATCTTTATTGTCATACACACGACGTCTCGACTGTTGTACACTTCGGCCTTCTTCAGATGGTATACGTTGGAATTTCATACCAAACCGTTTATTTAGTTCTCTGAGGTAGATTGTTCTATTTCCACGTGCCATTCCTTTTCAGAAATATAGTAAAATATCTCGGTTTCAGTTATTTTTCTTTAGTAATATCAAGTTTTTGTTCACCTCTGCTGTGGCCAGGTATTGAACTCACAACTTTTTTGGGGTCAAGTCACTGGATTACTTCAACCAACGATTTCCTCCAATGAGCCATCTATTCCTTTTTATTCCCTTTTTTTAGCAGACACGTATTCATTGCTTCAAATGTACTGATGTCATTACAGCTTTCTTGGTAGACAACGGGATCCTAAAAATCTATCAGCTTGTCCCACTTAAATAAAACAATATTTTAATGACTCAGCAAAATACTCAGCAGGCAGGACTCATAAATTTCAGTGCCCTCTTATTTTGTAAACTTTCTACTACACATAGAAAGAAAATATCTCAATGGCGTTCATGAATATTTAGCAGATAGTGTGTTCTGTAATCACATTCTAAAGATATCAGAAAACATTTTACGTTAGTGGTTGCAAATGTTAAGCAGCAAAAACGACATATTATGTCGTAGCGAATGAAATGCTCACAAAAGAATAACATTGATATAAATTTTTTTAATATGTAAACCAGAGTAGAGAATGTTGATCAGCTTTCTCTGAACCGACACGGAATTTCATAGCTAATAAAATTTAAAGATAAAATATCATTTTCTTACTTTTCTTCTAAGATGTTATGGTCGCTTGCAGCTTTGACTGGCATATCATTGTTACGGAAGCTATGCTGAGTAAGATGTATCAGAAGGTGATTTTTTGTGAAGGCCAAGAATGTGCGTGATCGTAATGCATTTATCCACAACAAATAAATCAAACAAAAATAAATAGACAATTCAACTTCAAGAAATTACTGAAAACAACGTCATTAGAGATTTCAACAATAACATGAATTTATATATATATTTGACATACACAAAGTGATAATAAGTTGCTTGTTAAATGTGGCAAGTGAGATAAGGTTACAATGATTGTCCATGCAGAAATTTAGTGAGTAAAGGTTGATAGTTTAAGTTTGTTTGTGAAATTAAAATAGTTGTGCGAGTTGTGTTGAGTTGTGTTGAGTTGTTGAGAGGTTGGTAGTGGTTATTGAGTCAGTGTGTTGGCGCGCGTGGAGTCTGCTGGTATCTCTCGAAACTCAGTGTCTGACTAACGTGAATTAAGTCGAGCGATTCTTTTTTTCAAATGGACTCCAGAGACCTGCGCGGGAAAAAGGTTTGTACCATATCATTTTCCCCTTTTAACCGGCAGAATAAAAAAATATATATTTATCACAGCATTAGGCAATGTTTGTTATAGCGCTTCAAAATTATTATGCAACGACGATATAACTCTGCCATTATAATTCTCGTAAATATAACATTTCATATTAACTTAAGTCAAGAACATTTTGACATGGATGCCATATTTTGCATGGCCTCCATGGCATGTTTATATGAAACTATTTAATTGAACAAAGGTATTGGGTGGCAACCAATTTAGGAGACGGAAATCTCTCAATTCGAACCGTCCTGGAGAGGGTTGGACACCGTCAGGCTATCTTGCCTAAGATACACCATTTCTAATGCGGCTGCAGTATATGTAGTGACGTGTAGAGGTTTGATGATCCTCAGGGAGAAACCTCTGGTTTTATGCCCCTAAGACACAAGTAGAGAGGCTTAAGGGCCTAGTACTGGGAAATGTGAGAAAAGACGACATTTTGAGCATGTAAAAAAAAAACGAAATATGAAATCAACTTTATTCAAATTTTATTTAATTCTTTGATTCGATGCCCACTCGATATGGATGCCCGAAGCCTTCGCCCCTTCTACCCCTATCTTCTACCCGATACCCAGCACATGTAGTGTCCCTACAACTATAATGAGTTACGGGACACATAACAGTGTTATCTTGCCCTATTACGGAGTAGAACTTCACGGCAATTGGGTTCTTTTATGAACCACTCTGATGTTTTTATTACTTTATTTTGTTCAAATAAAAAGAGAATTTTTAAACACGAAAAAATTATTTTATTTCAATTAAAAACTAATTTCCTTTATTTTCGCTTTGTTTATTTTCTAGCAATTTTATAAACCACTATATAAAATCAGGTTCTTGTCTATTACAGGTAAAATTAGATACGCACGGTAGAAACGGCAATTATGGTGTAGTGGCTATCGATATATTTACCGTCTATTGCTGTGACATGCCAGTAATGTTAACGTGTTCAATTTCATAAGAGATTGAGAATGAAGGATTAAAAAATCGAATTATTAAGAATATGAATATTTATGGAAGATGGGTGATCATTACTGGGATAGAAGTTTTGTATATATAAGTATTGTGTTACATACAAATCAACCTAGTCTGATTTTATAAATGAATTACACCAAACTTAGTACAAAGTTAACGAAAAATTAGTAACACGATAGGCAATTACTGAAACCTCCTGACGAGTGGACTAAATAATTACAATAATGTTTGTCTACGAAACTCTGGAATCAAGGTGCTAAATATAGCAGCAATCAACTAAGTGACAAGTTTTATTTGTAATGATCATATATATATATATATATATATATATATATATATATATATATATATATATATATATATATATATACACATATATACATATATATATATATATATATATATATATATATATATATATATATATATATATATATATATATATATATATATATATATATATATATACATATATATATATATATATACATATATATATATATATATATATATATATATATATATATATATATATATATATATATATATATATATATATATAGAGAGAGAGAGAGAGAGAGAGAGAGAGAGAGAGAGAGAGAGGTTGAAGACAATTGATAAGACACTGTGATTGTTTTTTATCATATTTTCTTGCATTCTTACAAGTGATTTCTTTTCTGGACGTAGAGTGTATACAAATTGTCCAGTTATCTGTGGATCGGCTAATCTATTTGCCATTATGAAAGATTTTTTTATAACAATAGGAGTGTTATCATTTCCGAAAACAGTCATCACGTTGATATTATTGAGAGTTGGTTTCTTTTTATTGCTAACCGATTTCACTATGTAGATTTATGATCCGAGAGATGTAAAGTAAGTCTTCTTGATCTATATGCCTGTCACAATGACTTACTTTGTATCTCCCAGATCATAATTTCATTTGTATGTTTGTTTGTGTGTGTGATAGATAGAGAGAGAGAGAGATAAAGAAAGAGAGAGAGAGAGAGAGAGATAAAGAAAGAGATCTATATGATGAATAACGAACATTTTGTCCCACAAAATAAGAAACAGTATTTTGTGGAATTTTGCAATGAAATCTTCTGAAGAGTGGATGTAATATAAACGGCGCAACTTGGTGTAGAGACAGCCTAAGTGAACATTTACTTTTGTTTATTAAGCTCTCTGTATCTTCTTATCTCTCTTTAAACATATAGATGTATGTGTGTTTGTTGTTTGGATTAGTTGTAATACATTCTTATAAATGGAAAAAAAAATTTCAATTATTTCCACTGAATCTATTCTTAATAAATTGCGCTTTTTCTTCGCAAGTCTCAATCCAGCAAATTCATTTTACGAGATTCAAATTAGCCGATGTAGTCTCCAAACGGAATGCATTAACCTCGCTTCCTGCGTAAAACAAGTAAGAGTTAAGAATAACACAGCTTGGTTAAATGTTTGTCCGATCTTTTGTACTAAATGGCAGAATTCAGAGAAAGAGATCAGTACGTGGTGGGATTGCACATAATAAAATCATAAAATATCCCGTCTGCAAGGGGATCTGATAAGTTCTTGGCCCGACCATTTCGAATATCATTTTATTCAAATTTTGTGATCTTTTGTGTCTGAAAGAAAAACCTTTCAGTACACTATTGCATTTGGTTTCGTAAGATTTTCCATGAAGCTAAAAATGCTTATCTAGTTGCAGTGACTGAAGAAAAGCTCATGTAAATATCAGAACAATAATGTATTAGAGTAGGGTAACGAATTCCCTCAAACACATACACATTTCAGAAAGAGAAATTTCTAAAGCACATAAGGAAATACAGCTTGGAAAATTTCACACTTCCAGGACATATTGGCGGCAGGAAGGACAGAGGATAAAAGCACATAAACCCTGTCTAATGAGATTGTCTAAATGAGTGGCAGAAAGGAATTTAGGAGAGATAGAAATGGGCAACATTTACTAAGAGATACAAAGGACAGGATATTGTGGAGAGCCATGATCGCCAACGTCCTGAAGTGGCATGACACAAAGAAGAATCGATATCGCTGTTGTATCTCTACTTCCATGGCAAATTTTCAGATAAATTCCATTCTTTATTTCCATCATTCCAGTACTTCAGAGTTACTACCACGGAGCCGAATCACTGTCATTTATTTCGTATTTCAAGGTGTAAGGAGACTGTTTTAGTCAGCCAGCTTTTTTCTCCCGAGAACTGCTAGCTTGAATGTGCGTATGCTTCTTTAGAAACTACAATCTATTCCTCTTCTAGTCAAGGGACAATAGTTATCTATTCGTCTTAGCTTCATAATTTTCATTTCCTACCCTTATTAATTCATCTAAGACACCTAATTCCTTATAATCCTTTTAGCGCTAAGCCTTAATCTCTTCAGCCTTGAATTGTGTTGATTCTAGCATAAAATACTGTAATCTGTATATCTTTGTTCATAAGAAATGAAAATATTTCTGAATTTTATTCCTGTTATCTGTATTTTGTTTGACTTAAGATTCTATCATTTTGACGACATCAGTATGCAAAAGCGAAAATATTAGTCTTACAGAATACCAAATTCTGATTCATCTTTTATTGCAGAGAATAAAACTAACAATGCAGTAATTCAACAGATACGACGATATCAGTAACGCCAACATATTTTTGCAATGTTAAGACCGTCATGTAAATATTCTATTCTAAAGTCTGAATATATTGCTAAAGGAATTTCAAATGGCCGGTTATTGATCCAAACTGATCAGTTTTTCTAACAATTTTGATAGGTCAGAGTACATTACATTTTATATCGTGTAAACAAAATTGGAGTCTCTCTATACATAATTTAATATTGCCAGTGAGGTGAAAAATAGAAATTTACATCGAATCCCTTCAGCTGCGAAGTAAAGTTACCCTTTTAAGTTGGCCGTTCAAAAATAACTAAATAAATGTTAGGCTGGAAAAATGCAAGCAAACCCATTTCCCTTGGCAACTGCCACGTAATTAACTAAATATATCGACGGCTTTACTCTTGTTATGTAGAAATGCTTACAGGACACGCTTTGGATATCGTTAGGCCTCTGAAATCTTACAATAACTTAAACCAAAGGAATGTGATGTCAGCTGACAGTGTATCAAAAGCTACGCGACATTTTCACGTACGCTAAATGAAAAATGTTAGTAAAGTTTTAAAATGTCAATAAATTTCCATATAATCAGTGGGTTGATCGTTTTATATTTATAAAAAGAAAAGAAAAATGTTTCATTAGATATACTAAGACAAAATGTCATTTGCCAATGGCTGCCTTGAACTCGGAAAATAAGTTTCAGTAAAACTGCATATCGCCAAATATAGATAAATAAATAAAGGAAAAAACGTAGGGTTTGAAATCTAATTTCTGCGTGGCAGGCTGTTGGTTTTACAATATTCATATGTACGAAAAGTAACGGGTGAAGTGGACATGACGATGCCTGAAGTTGTTTGGAAAAAACGAATAAGGTACTATAAAAAAAAAAACGAAAGGGCTTTTCTATTTTTCTTAACACAATTTTGTCTACAGGACCATTTAATTTAGCATATATTTACCAGGCCTCCGCACTAAGTCAGGATGTGACATAAGGTCGCTGGGAACCCATACATAGATATATGCAATAAGCAATGGACAAAAATTGCCCATTCCACACGACCTTTCTATCGGTGGAGTCGATGTTACAGTTTATTTCAAAAGTGAATGAGAGAAAAAATAGCATGTAGTAAATTACTACTGTTATATTTTATAAGCCCATGAAAAAGTTTTCAGTATTTTGTACCGAATTCACAGGGATTCAGGACATTATTCATATAACAAGATTTTTTTTGTCCTTGACATTCTATAATATCAGACCACACTCTGGAAATAAATATAATAACTAAGCATTATTTACACTATTTACATTTTTCGGACTATTGTCCTCATCTTTTTTTTTTTTTTTTTTTTTTGTCATATTCACGACGTTTCGGCCGTTGTACACTCCGGCCTTCTTCAGGTGATTGGAATTTCGAAACGGAACCCTTTATTTTGTTTACCGGGGTAGATTTTTTCTAGTTTCACGTGCCATGCCTCTTCCGGATATCTCTGTTTTAATTATTTCCGTTTAACTTGATTCTCCAAATTTCAAAGTTTCAGTGACAAACTGTTTGTGTCAAGTCGTGAATATGACAAGGGAGATGAGGACAACAGTCAAAATAAAATAAATATTTTAAATACCTCCTTTTAGAAATACAGACATATACTCCAGTTTAAATTCCATGAAGTCTTCAAAAATGTTTAATAACCATAAATCATCTAAGAAACGTTCGAGAGTTTGTTTTCTCGTAAGAAACAAGTGATGAAGTGCGGGTTAGGTTGAATTTGCTACAGGAAAATTAGTGTAGTTGCGAAAATAAGTCACTGATTGATTTCTTTATCAAGAGAAACATTTTATCTGTCTTAATGAGTTGTTCTTCATAACGAGGCAATTCCTCTTAATTTTTCTGTCTGTTCACGTTTTCTTACATTTTATATTTTTTTCAAATACTGAGATGTTGCCCATCACTTCTTGTTTTGGGGCTCAAACCCGTTACTAAACATCATAAGCTGTGTCTGGCACTACCTACTTTCTCAGTACTATCCTCTGCCTACCATCCGCTTCATTTTTCTCAAGATAAAACAATGAACAATGTAAATGGTAGTATATATATGTCAGATTTGAAAACTTACTTTGACCTTGACTTACCGATGTACACGTACCCTCAAAAAGAGAGTTTTATTTCACAATTCTTTTTGCCGGCTAATCAGCGACATATGTCAATTATGAAATTTTCTGACCCCTACGATTTACCAATCCAGGTGGCCATAATTCATATCAATGAACCCGGGTGAATCATTTCCAAACAATTTTGCGAATGTAACTGACTTGGAGTCCAGAGTTCATGGCCTGATTCATCCTCTTCTCTCTACTATGCCTCTTCAGGATATTTGTGATTATGGCTCTCCACACTTTCCCTGTTCTTTGTAGCTTTTAGTAAATTTCGTCTTTTTACTATCTATCCTAAAACTTGTTCTGCCATTCATTTACACAAGCTCGTTACGTGGCTTTTTCTTGCCTTTGGTATGTGAGCGTCAAATTTTTCAAGCCCTCTTTCCTCACAAATTTTATCTCATTCTTTCAGTAGAATCACATTTCTACTGTCTCTTTTTGGTTTTAAATATAACTTATTGCTTCCATTGTCTCTAGAACTTCCTCTTTGCTAATTCGGACCATGGTATTGTCAATATCCTTCTGTAGAACCACATTTCTGTTGCTTCAAATCTCTTCTTCATCCAGCATTCACTGCCATATAGGAAAACTGATATTATATAACGGTTTGGCAGTCTTTTCTTCGTATCTAACGGATTTTTTCTGTTTCTTAATACTTTGCTTAGCTTTTAGAAGGCATCTATCGTTATCTCAACACGCCTTCGGATTTCCGTGTCGCACATTCCGTCTTACAACATATTTACATTGTTGTACTTATTTGTTATTTTGTATCTCCGGTTTGTAATTTGTATGTTGGGCTGTTCTTTTAGCTGATAACCATGCATTCTGTTTCCTTGCAACTAATGTTTAGTTCTTCCTTTTCGTTTTCCTTCACTACATTTTGCGGCAGTTCGTTTCTTTCTCTCAACTGTTTTGAAGAGGATATACATACATAGTTGCATACATACATACATACATACATATATATATATGTGTGTGTGTGTGTGTGTGTGTGTGTGTGTGTGTGTGGACATTGAATACAACACCCAGCGGCGAATGTCTTTTTCATGATTATACGGAATCATTAGACAGACGATTACGTATAAGCGTGAAACAGACTCTCACCGCTGGGTGTTGACTTCAATGTCCACATTTATATTTACACACGCTCTATTCTTAAGCATTTCAACCCATAATTATAGCGTACCTGAAAACTATATTTCATCATATATATAGTGATTTTATAACATACTTATGTTATAATTTTTTTTTTTATA